GAATTGGTTACTGAGGGACACAGATTTGTTACTGAGGGCCACAGAAGCGTTACTTAGGGCCATCAGAAACGTTACTTAGGGCCACAGAAAAGAAACGTTACTTAGGGCCACAGAAACGGTTACTTAGGGACACAGAATTGTTACTCAGGGACAGACAGAATTGTTACTGAGGGATACAGAATTGTTACTGAGGGCCACAGGGATCGTTACTTAGGGCCACAGAAACGTTACTTAGGGCCACAGAATTGTTACTTAGGGACAGACACAGAATTGTTACTGAGGGGACACAGATTTGTTACTGAGGGCCACAGAATCGTTACTTAGGGCCACAGAAACGTTACTTAGGGCCACAGAAAACGTTACTTAGGGCCACAGAATTGTTAATTAGGGACACAGACACAAGAATTGTTACTGAGGGACACAGATTTGTTTACTGAGGGGGCCACAGAAACGTTACTTAGGGCCACAGACAAGTTTTACTTAGCGGCCACAGAAACGTTACTTAGGGACCACAGAAACTTTACTTAGGGCACACAGAAAGTTGGTTACTTAGGGACAGACACAGATTTGTTTACTGAGGGACACAGAAACGTTACTTAGGGCCACGAATTGTTACTGAGGGCCACAGAACCGAAATACTTTAGGGCCACAGAAACGTTACTTAGGGACACAGAATTGTTACTCAGGGACAGACACAGAATTGTTACTGAGGGATACAGAATTGTTACTAAGGGACCACAGAACCGTTAATCTTAGGGCCCAGAAACGTTACTTAGGGCCACAGAAACGTTACTTAGGGCTACGAGAGTAACGTTACTTAGGGCCACAGAATCGTTACTTAGGGCTACAGAAACGTTACTTAGGGCCACAGAATCGTTACTAGGGCCACAGAATCGTTACTTAGGGACACAGAAACGTTAACTTAGGGGGGGGGGCCACAGAACTTTACTTAGGGCCACAGAAAGAATTGTTACTTAGGGGACAGACACAGAATTGTTACTTGAGGGACACAGAATTGTTACTGAGGGCCACAGAACCGTTACTTAGGGCCACAGAAACGTTACTTAGGGGCCACAGAATTGTTACTCACGGGACACTGACACAGAGAATTGTTACTGAGGGATACAGAATTGTTACTGAGGGACACAGAACGTTACTTAGGGCCACAGAAACGTTACTTAGGGCCACAGAAACGTTACTTAGGGCCACAGAATTGTTACTTAGGGACACAGACACAGAATTGTTACTGAGGGACAGACACAGAATTGTTACTGAGGGCCACAGAACCGTTACTTAGGGCCACAGAAACGTTACTTAGGGACACAGAATTGTTACTCAGGGACAGACACAGAATTGTTAATGAGGGATACAGAATTGTTACTGAGGGACACAGAAACCGTTTACTTAGGGCCACAGAAACGTTACTTAGGGCCACAGAAACGTTACTTAGGCCACAGAAACTTACATTAGGGCTACAGAAACTTACGTACAGAAATGTACTATAGGGCCACAGAAACGTTACTTAGGGCTACAGAAACGTTACTTAGGGCACAGAAACTTTACTTTAGGGCCACAGAATTGTTACTTAGGGACAGACCAGACACAGAATTGTTATTGAGGGACACAGAATTGTTACTGAGGGCCACAGAACCGTTACTTAGGGCCACAGAAACGTTACTTAGGGCCACAGAATTGTTACTCAGGGACAGACACAGAATTGTTAGCTGAGGGATACCGAATGTTACTGAGGGGACAACAGCAACCGTTACTTAGGGCCACAGAAACGTTACTTAGGGCCACAGAAAACGTTACTTTAGGGCCACAGAAACCGTTTACTTAGGGCTTACAGGAAATAGTTAACTTTAGGGCCACAGAAAGGTTTTACTTAGGGCTACAGAAACGTTACTTAGGGCCACAGGAATCCGTTTACTTTAGGGCCACAGAATCGTTACTCTTAGGGACACAGAAACGTTATTTAGGGACACAGAAACGTTACTTAGGGGGACAGAATTGTGTCCTTCCTCAGGGACAGACACAGAATTGGGCAACAGAATTGTTCCTACTGAGGGCCACAGAATTTGTTACTGAGGGCCACAGAACTGTTACTTATGGCCATAGGGCCACAGAATCGTTTACTTAGGGCCTCAGAAACGGTTACTTAGGGCCACAGAAACGTTACTTAGGGACACAGAAATTGTTACTCAGGGACAGACACAGAATTTGTTACTGAGGGACACAGATTTGTACTGAGGGCCACAGAACCAGTTACTTAGGGCCACAGAAACATACTCAAGGGACACAGAATTGTTACTGAGGACACAGAATTGTTTACTCGAGGCGGCCACAGAACTGTGTTACTTAGGGCCACAGAAACGTTACTCAGGAACACAGAATTGTTACTCAGGACAGACACAGAATTGTTACTCAGGGACACAGAATCGTATTTAATTAAAGAGTATGTCAGACAACATGCAAGAAGTGGCAGAGGAGGCAATGTTTTAGGAGGCGAGCAGACGTGGGCAGCAGAGGAAGGGTCGAGGCAGCACTATTCGCAGCCAGAGGCCAGTGCTCCCGGTGTCATCCAGCGGTCGTGGTCCCTCCACCGACAACCCTGCCGTCTATCGATTGGGTGGCTCGGTCGACTTCCTCTTCCCAGGTCACCTCTGACACCTACTGCCAACGGTCGGTGGGTACGTCAGACACAAAACGTTAGTTGGCATGGCCCGGGAGCAAGCCCACTGAAATCACGTGTCCTCTACCTTGCCCCTGTCCTTTGGTGTTCCCTCATCACCAAAGCGAAAGTATCCGCATGCTGTGGGCTCAGCCCCACTGTACAGTTGAGGAAGAGCCTAACAGGGCGGTCCGGAACGGGGGGAGACATCCGCCTCTACAGCAGCCAGGCGAAGAAGTAGTGGCGAGAGAGTGGCTCGGCTGAGCCGGTCTAGAGACAGGTCTGTCTCCTGACCCACACGCAGCCGAGGGGGCTAGTAGTGAGGCGCAGACCCTAATTGATGATGATGAGCTGATCCACATTGGCAGCCTCGTCGTCATCAGGCTATTGCTTCCGCATCATCAGGAGAAGAGGGTGGCAGCTGGCAGCGAGCAAAACAGTCGGTGGAATTTGCCCAGGAGGGACAGCAGGGTCGCAGCAGTGTCAGTGGAGGCAAACGCCACGGACGTACAGCAACCAGCTCCACTGCAGCCTACCACACGGCCAGATAGTGGTGCCGTGTGCTCGGTGAGGACGACAGCAGTCAGCCAGTGAGGAGTATCGGGGCAAAGTTTCCTACTCGGCGGTGTGTGGCAATTTTTTCGTCAAGCCGCCCGAGTGAAGTAAACCGTAGACGATGTATGTCGACTATGTGGCCAGAAAGTCAAGCGTGGTCAAGGGGGCCCATGTTGGGACTACATTGTTGTCAAGCGGTGTTCCTAAAATCCACCATCCCACTGCAAGACATCCTTAAAATGTCACGTAAACTTTGCATGCATTTCAGCCATTCCTACCCGGCAAAGCACACCCTCCTTGAGCTGCAGCGGCAGACAAAACGGGATTCCACAGCATCGCCTGATCTGCGACGTTGCAACAAGGTGGAATTCAACCCCCTACACATGTTAGACCGCCTTTACGAACAGCGAAAGGCCATCACACACCTGATTTCCTGATGTTACAAGCGGATAAAGGCACTCCCCTGTGTAACTTCGATGTCAGCCATTGGCAGCTCATGCGTGACACCTGCCGCTTGCTCAGGCCCTTTGAGGAGGCCACGCTATTCGTGAGTCGGCAGGACTATGGGATGAACGACGTCATTCCTCTGTTGCACGTCCTGAAACAAATGCTGTTAACAATGGCTGGTCAGGGTGCGGTAGACGTGGCGCACAGATCTCAACGCCACATGACCCCTGTGGGGGCAGGACAGGAAGAAGAGGAGGAGGTAGAGGAGGACATTTGTGCTCAGGAATTATTGAGTGAAATGGGTGGTTTTTCCACTCAGTGGACAGGAGTGGAGGAGCAGGAGCATCTGGTAGAGGAGGAGGAGGAGGAGACAGAGGACCCAGACGCACCGTGTGGCAATATGCTGTGGAGATGGAGGCAGGGAGTCCCTCGCATTCCTTGGCACAAATGGCCCATAGCATGCTCGGTTGCTTGCGTAGCGCAGCCGAATAATAACCATCAGACAGAGGGATGACTTTTGGCTGTCCACCTTGTTGGACCCTCGCTAGCGTTCAAAAATGGTGGCCTTTTTCACACCTGCTGAGAGGGAGGCCAAAATAACGTACTATAAAAACCACCTATGTAGTCAGTTGGTCTCTGCCTTTGTGCGCCAACGTCCATCCTCAGACACCGTGGGCCCTGTGCGCTCGCGTTCCGCTGCCATGGCAGCAGGGGAGGGGTGGGGTGGTAGGAGCAGTGGCAGCTCCACCAGCAGCGGCTGCCTCAGTCTGCAGTCGATGATGAGTAGCTTTCTTCACCAGCGCAGTGAGGAAACTACTAACCAGCCGCAGCAGCATCAGCAGCATCAGGTGGACCTGGAGCAGGACCTCAAACAACAGGCTTGGGCCTACTTGGACAGCACCCTGCCAACCGAGGTAGACAATCCCCTTGACTACTGGGCAACGAAACTTGACCTTTGGCCCCAACTAGCTGAATTTGCCCTTGAAAGGCTGTCATGCCCGGCCAGTAGCGTGGCATCGGAGCGCGTGTTTAGTGCGGCAGGAGGTATTGTAACTCCGCGGAGGACACGACTGTCCACCCAAAGTGTGGAGAGGACTCACATTTGTGAAAATGAATCAGGCGTGGATTAGTCTGGATTTCAAACACCAGTTCCTGACACAACTGACTAAATCCGCCATGAATCATGCCCCAAACATGTGCCACTTTCAGGTCTCCTCACACTGCTGTTGTGTTCCATTTTTTGTCATAGGGTGCTGGCAGATTACGGGCCTCCCATAGCTGCTGCCAGGCCCCTAATCTGCCATGGGCCCCTTATACCGCCTCCTCATGATGCTGCTGCCAAGTCCAGAGTCTCTCATGGGTCCCTGTACGGCCTCCATTGCTGCTGTCTCCATCGCCACACTTGCCATGTGCCACTTTTCAGGTCTCCTCACACACTGCTGGTGTGTTCAATTTTTTGACATAGGGTGCTGGCAGATTACGGGCCTCCCATAGCTGCTGCCAGGCCCCTAATCTGCCATGGGCCCCTGTACTGCCTCCTCATGCTGCTGCCAGGTCCACAGTGTCTCATGCCATGTGCCACTTTCAGGTCTCCTCACACTGCTGTTGTGTTCATTTTTTGTCATAGGGTGCTGGCAGATTACGGGCCTCCCATTGCTGCTGCCAGGCCCGTAATCTGCCATGGGCCCCTGTACCGCCTCCTCATGCTGCTGCCAGGTCCAGAGTCTCTCATGGGTCCCTGTATGGCCTTCCCCATTGCTGCTGTCTCCATCGCCACACTCTGCCATGTGCCACTTTCAGGTCTCCTCTCACTGCTGGTGTGTTCAATTTTTTGTCATAGGGTGCTGGCAGATTACGGGCCTCCCATAGCTGCTGCCAGGCCCCTAATCTGCCATGGGCCCCTGTACCGCCTCCTCATGCTGCTGCCAGGTCCACAGTCTCTCATGCCATGTGCCACTTTCAGGTCTCCTCACACTGCTGGTGTGTTCAATTTTTTGTCATAGGGTGCTGGCAGATTACGGGCCTCCCATAGCTGCTGCCAGGCCCGTAATCTGCCATGGGCCCCTGTACCGCCTCCTCATGCTGCTGCCAGGTCCAGAGTCTCTCATGGGTCCCTGTACGGCCTCCCCATTGCTGCTGTCTCCATCGCCACACTCTGCCATGTGCCACTTTCAGGTCTCCTCACACACTGCTGGTGTGTTCAATTTTTTGTCATAGGGTGCTGGCAGATTACGGGCCTCCCATAGCTGCTGCCAGGCCCCTAATCTGCCATGGGCCCCTGTACCGCCCTCCTCATGCTTCTGCCAGGTCCAGAGTCTCTCATGGGTCCCTGTACGGCCTCCCATTGCTGCTGTCTCCATCGCCACACTCTGCCATGTGCCACTTTCAGGTCTCCTCACACTGCTGGTGTGTTCAATTTTTTGACAGGGTGCTGGCAGATTACGGGCCTCCCATAGCTGCTGCCAGGCCCATATCTGCCATGGGCCCCTGTACCGCTCCTCATGCTGCTGCCAGGTCCACAGTGTCTCCATGCCATATGCCACTTTCAGGTCTCTCTCACACTGCTGGTGTGTTCAATTTTTTGACATAGGGTGCTGGCAGATTACGGGCCTCCATAGCTGCTGCCAGGCCCCTAATCTGCCATGGGCCCCTGTACCGCCTCCTCATGCTGCTGCCAGGTCCACAGTCTCTCATGCCATGTGGCCACTTTCAGGTCTCCTCACACTGCTGCTGTGTGTTAAATTTTTTGTCATAGGTGCTGGCAGATTACGGGCCTCCATAGCTGCTGCCAGGCCCCTAATCTGCCATGGGCCCCTTATACCGCCTCCTAATGCTGCTGCCAGGTCCAGAGTGTCTCATGGGTCCCTGTACGGCCTCCCATTGCTGCTGTCTCCATCGCCACACTCTGCCATGTGCCACTTTCAGGTCTCCTCACACACTGCTGGTGTGTTCAATTTTTTGACATAGGGTGCTGGCAGATTACGGGCCTCCCTGCCATAGCTGCTGCCAGGCCCCTAAATCTGCCATGGGCCCCTGTACCGCCTCCTCATGCTGCTGCCAGGTCCAGAGTCTCTCATGGGTCCCTGTACGGCCTCCACATTGCTGCTGTCTCCATCGCCACACTCTGCCATGTGCCACTTTCAGGTCTCCTCACACACTGCTGGTGTGTTCAATTTTTTTGACATAGGGTGCTGGCAGATTACGGGCCTCCCATAGCTGCTGCCAGGCCCCCTAATCTGCCATGGGCCCTGTACCGCCCTCATGCTGCTGCCAGGTCCCACAGTGTCTCATGCCATGTGCCTCACTTTCAGGTCTCCTCACACTGCTGGTGTGTTCAATTTTTTGACATAGGGTGCTGGCAGATTACGGGCCTCCCATAGCTGCTGCCAGGCCCCTAATCTGCCATGGGCCCCTGTACCGCCTCCTCATGCTGCTGCCAGGTCCACAGTCTCTCATGCCATGTGCCACTTTCAGGTCTCCTCACACTGCTGGTGTGTTAAATTTTTTGTCATAGGGTGCTGGCAGATTACGGGCCTCCCATAGCTGCTGCCAGGCCCCTAATCTGCCATGGGCCCCTATACCGCCTCCTAATGCTGCTGCCAGGTCCAGAGTGTCTCATGGGTCCTGTACGGGCCTCCCATTGCTGCTCCACCCCTCTCCATCGCCACACTCTGCCATGTGCCACTTTCAGGTCTCCTCACACACTGCTGGTGTGTTCAATTTTTTGACATAGGGTTGCTGGCAGATTACGGGCCTCCCATAGCTGCTGCCAGGCCCCTAATCTGCCATGGGCCCATGTACCGCCTCCTCATGCTGCTGCCAGGTCCACATCTCTCATGCCATGTGCCACTTTCAGGTCTCCTCCACACACTGCTGGTGTGTTCAATTTTTTGTCATAGGGTGCTGGCAGATTACGGGCCTCCCATAGCTGCTGCCAGGCCCCTAATCTGCCATGGGCCCCTATACCGCCTCCTCATGCTGCTGCCAAGTCCAGAGTCTCTCATGGGTCCCTGTACGGCCTCCCATTGTGCTGTCTCCATCACCACACTCTGCCATGTGCCACTTTCAGATCTCTTCACACTGCTGGTGTGTTACATTTTTTGTCATAGGGTGCTGGCAGATTAACGGGCCTCCCATTGCTGCTGCCAGGCCCGTAATCTGCCATGGGCCCCCGTACCGACTCCTCATGCTGTGACGTTTGTGCAACAAGGTGGAATTCAACCCTACATATGTTAGACCGCCTTTACGAACAGCAAAAGGCCATCACAGATTTCCTGATGTTACAAGCGGATAAAGGTACTACTCCCCTGTGTAACTTAGATGTCAGCCATTGGCAGCTCATGCGTGACACTTGCGCTGCTTAGGCCCTTTGAGGAGGCCACGCTATTCGTGAGTTGGCAGGACTATGGGATGAAACGACGTCATTCCTCTGTTGCACGTCCTGGAACAAATGCTGTTAACAATTGGCTGGTCAGGGTGCGGTAGACGTGGCGCACAGATCTCAACGCCACATGACCCCTGTGGGGGCAGGACAGGAAGAAGAGGAGGAGGTAGAGGAGGACATTGGTGCCTCAGGAATTATTGAGTGAAATGGGTGGTTTTTCCACTCAGCGGACAGGAGTGGAGGAGCAGGAGCATCTGGTAGAGGAGGAGGAGGAGGAGACAGAGGACCCAGACGCACCGTGGCAGTATGCTGTGGAGATGGAGGCAGGGAGTCCCTCGCATTCCTTGGCACAAATGGCCCATAGCATCTGCTCGGTTGCTTGCGTAGCGACAGCCGAATAATAACCATCAGACAGAGGGATGACTTTTGGCTGTCCACCTTGTTGGACCCTCGCTAGCGTTCAAAAATGGTGGCCTTTTTCACACCTGCTGAGAGGGAGGCCAAAATAACGTACTATAAAAACCACCTATGTAGTCAGCTGGTCTCTGCCTTTCTGCGCCAACGTCCATCCTCAGACACTGTGGGCCCTGTGCGCTCGCGTTCCGCTGCCATGGCAGCAGGGGAGGGGTGGGGGGTTGGTAGGAGCAGTGGCAGCTCCACCAGCAGTGGCTGCCTCAGTCTGCAGTCGATGATGAGTAGCTTTCTTCACCAGCGCAGTGAGGAAACTACTAACCAGCCGCAGCAGCAGCAGCAGCATCAGGTGGACCTGGAGCAGGACCTCAAACAACAGGCTTAGGCCTACTTGGACAGCACCCTGCCAACCGAGGTAGACATCCCCTTGACTACTGGGCAACGAAACTTGACCTTTGGCCCCAACTAGCTGAATTTGCCCTTGAAAGGCTGTCATGCCTGGCCAGTAGCGTGGCATCGGAGCGCGTGTTTAGTGCGGCAGGAGGTATTGTAACTTCTGCCATGTGCCACTTTCAGGTCTCCTCACACTGCTGGTGGTTTCCATTTTTGTCATAGGGTGCTGTATGGCCTCCCATTGCTGCTGCCTCCACCGCCACACTGTGGCTCCACACTCTGGTTTTGGCCCCGTGACTGCCCAAATGAGTGAAGTGTGTGGTGATTCTAAGATTGACGGCACTCATCTGCATGTCATACTGACTGTCAGTATTATTTCTCTTCCCCAGCAGACTCCAAGGGCATTTAAATTAAAGGTACAGTGTTCTGCACTAATATAAAGGCTCTCTGAAACCTAGAAACACCCTTTTATAAGTTAAATTCGCAGCGAATATATTCGACTCGAATCGAAATTTTTCCACGAATTCGCCGAATCAGTCGAATCGAATTTTTGAATACTTCGCTCATCTCTAGTCACCACATTTGATACACTTGTGTAACACCCTCCTAGTTACACTAAGTGGAGTTAGATCCCTAATGGTTAGACAGGAGCAGGGGCGGACTGACAATTCGAGCACCGGGGTCAGTAGGGGCCCCATGAGATGCCCCTGGTACCTTTCATAGGCTTTTTTGGGTGTAGTTTGAGTGTGGGCAAGGACACAGGGGCCCCATGATCCCCTATTGCCCAGGGGCCCCATGAGTTGTCAGTCCGCCCCTGGACAAAGAGCTGAATAGCAGCTCAGATGCAATAGCCAGAGGGGGTCAAATTGGGGTCAGGGCTGAGAGACTCTTCAGGCAAGACCTTCTGGAATTTCCCACCACTCTGTGGCTTTCGGAGGAGGGCCTTGGAGGCAGTGGGAAGATCTGAGGAGTGGTTGGCTGCACTTTTGAGGGACCAATCCCTAATAGGAGGCTTGGCAAGGGGCTGGACTCCTTTAAGAGGTGTTAGAGTCTGCTCAGTAGCAGAAGTTGGAGTGTGATGGTGGAGAGGAGTGTTGAGTCAGGAAAATGTGTGGCTGGAGGAAGAAGGATGCTAGGAGGCCTCCTGGGATGGGGCCCGATTGCGAGCCTGGAGCCGGAAAGGAGGATCCCTCAGGACTCACTAGTCCACCTGTGTAGCAAGGAAGGAGCAGCCCAGCTCATAGGCCTGGTAGCAGTAGCCATTTCACAAGCTGTACAGGAGAGGATCTGAGTGAGTACACCTACACCCCCTTTGCAGATAGGGGAAACCAGATTAGCTATCTGCTAGTGACTGTGTACCTTTCTTAAGAGAACAGGAGCCAAATCCCCTGCTCAGGAAGAAAACCTTCAGATTGCTTGAGAGGAGTTCATCCAGAGTCTGGAGTAATACAACTGGAGCTGCTGGCTAGCACTCCAACAAAGACTGTGTCAGAGAGAAGAAGCTGTGAATAGTTCAGGAAGCTGCCCTCAGATTTCAGTTCCCTTGGGCATCCTATACACCCCATATACCCTATCCAAGTTTAATCCCCTCAATAAAACAAGAAAACCAATGCTCAAGGCCTCTGTCTGTGGATGAAAGCTATGTGGAAAATGCTAAATGACTGGCTGTGCAGGACTATAGGGGGACCCAAAATTTAACAGCAACCCCTAAGGGGGTAGTGCTACTCTTAGTTGAGTTTTTCTTTTAGTTTGCTTGGTAAAACATAATGAAATAGGTTCCCAGGTTTTTCCTCAACCCCTCTCCGATTGCTTGGGATTAAAACTTGCATGCAGAGTGTGATAACACATATGTATGGGTAATATGTACACACACATACTGGGGTTGGTGTAGACAAGAGCCAGTTAGTCTGCCAGAATGTCTTTAGTGTTAGGTCACTAGGGATCATGGATTTACCTGTTCAGAAATCTATAATGGGCTATATGGACATTGTTTTCAGTTATGGAGTGTTGGACTGACAGTCTTGGTAACACCTGCCTTGACATCAACCAGAAGCATGCTGGAGAAAGGAGACAAACAGCTGCAACTCTCTATAAAGACTTTGCCACTTATCAGCAGCTGAACCAAACAGTTCCACTTGCTATGATGATCAAGTACCTGAACTGTTCTATCTTTTCTGATGGTCAAGTACCTGAACTTTCTGTACAAATAAGCAAAAGTTCCATCTACCATGGTAGTCAAGTGTCTGCACATCTGATTTGTGAACTGTAATAGTCCGGAGGATAAAATGGACTTTGTACTCTACAGTTTTTTGAATTCTACAGCATTACAATTGCTGTGCTGCAGCTGCGATCTGATCATCAGATGGCTAAGATTCTGCTGTCCAGATATGGAGGAATGACAAGCTTCTACGTTTCTAAAGTCTTGGAAAGGAAAGTCTGATGTTCATATCTACTCCTGTTCTTTCGAATTCTTGAAAGTAAAAGTTTGGTGTTCTTTCATTAGTCCAACATGTTTTTTTTTTTAAATACTTTTTATGTTTTCCAGCCCTAACATAGCCAAATGAGATTTAATGCGTATGTATATTAGATAGGGAAAGTAGGTACCTACACTCTAGATAGATATACTTTAGATCACCTGTTTTTCATCTAAGGTAAACTGGCGGGGGGGGTTGTAGGAGAATACATTAATTATTCTTTTTGTTTACAATTATCAGGTGCTTTCCTTCCAAATCTGATATGTTGCCTTTATGTACAGTTGGAGGTATTACTGTACAATATTTGCAGGCCAGGGGTTGGAGTGATGGGGAAAGTGCATATTACATATTTCCTTATTAATGACGGCCTTACAAATATCTTATTACCTTAAATGACTTTAAGTGAGTGAGGATTTTCACTCTAGAACAGGAAGTGTATTGCTAGCTGTATCACCAAAGGAAAAATCCTGAAAAATAAACTTAATGTAGGCACTAGTTTTGGCCTTGGGTTCAGTCCCATGTGGCCATATTAGGTGCAAACCTAATGTCACAGGCAGGGAATCTCCTGTCTACAGCTACTTGGCCAAGCAATGACAGCTAACTTCTGAGTTTGCACCAAATATGGTTGAAACCAAATTCAAGGTTATCTCTAGCAGCCACCACATCTAAGGACCAGTAAGTTGCCACATATTAAATATCTGTTTTATCGTTAAAAACTATTTTAAGGATAAATTGCACACTGTCTTAAAATATATGTGAACCATCAACCTTGTATAACAGCCCATTCAGTTACAATATAAATGAAAGACAAAGTGATCACACACCCTCTGTTCTCAGCTGCATAAGTATCCCAGAGAGCTGGGGAAAGAGAATCAGCAGCACATTGGTCTTCCCAGTGAATGGCTTTGTGGGGGCAGAACAAGTCCGATCATTGAAGAAGAGCAGGCTGAGTTCTCAGCACAGTTAGAGAGCTGACTATGCTGTGTGATCATGCCTAGTGTGGTCAGTTTTAATAGGAAAGTGCAGGAACTGACAGGAAAACCAGGGAATTCATACAAAGGAAGCAATACAAAGAGAACAGGATGCATTTTCATTCAAGTACACGTTACAGCAGGCACATATCAGGAATATGAAACACTAAGTTTATATATTCTTTTAATAGGAAAAAGATGAGGTGGGTTTGTGCACATGGCAGTCAATGAGGACAGATTATATACCATCATAAGCATCACTATAAACTGTTGTTCATTTAAAAAACTGAACACAAACAAAGCTTTCATCCTTCAAAAAAAATAATCAAATACTGAAATAAGCACCTTAGTCAAATTCATTGTAATAATCAGTTACATAAACAGCCATATGCACTTATGTCCCTGAACTGATTCTAGGCATACGCCTTGCTTAATGTATTAACAGGCTTTCTCAAGCTTTAAAGGAGCCATAAAGATTTATGGCAGAAACATTGCACCACACATTGTAAGGTCCCGTTTTCTCCTAAGACTGTCCTAATTTTCAGAATTCTTTTCAGCACATCAAAGAACTTCAGCTGGCTTGATAAAAAGCAATACAAGATTTCAGGCAATGACTGTAGGTATGTTTCATTAAACATACAATAGTTAGGAGAATACTAGAAAGCTTACCTTCTCCGATGCATTGGTATGAAACTGTATAGATATTTGGTTCAAGACAACTTTTTTTTTCAGTGGAAATAAACACGTCATCGCCTTTCCTTCCTGCTCAGCCAGTGCGACCCTGGGGGACCTCATTAGCTGCACTCATAATGAAGTCACAACAAGCAATAAGGAGTCTTATCACATAGAAAACTATCAGCACAACCGTAGAAATGGCAACAGTTTTGCTGATTTTCAGAGTCAAGTAAAAATCAATGCTCTACAGCTAATCCCTCAAAACACAGTCTCTGTATTAATGTAAATGTCTTATGTTTGTGTAAATAATGAGCCCAGGCAAAAACCACAGCTTTGTGTACTGGCAGTTACCCTATATACTAACACACGGAAAGTTTTGTTCAAACCAAGACCACATAAGACGAGTTGTTTCTTAATCTCCCTAGCGGTATGGTTATGTCAATATTTCTGTGCTCAAAGTGGTACATTTTTTTGCATGGAAATATGTCGTTTTTTATTGTAAATTCTTAGGAATAACTCACTGAAATCTGTCCGAACAAGAGTCTAGTAAACATCCCAGGTATGTTAAAATTTGAAACACGAAATCATAAATTATAATTTAATAAATAATCATAAAAAATAATAATATAATAATAATAAATTTAATTTAATAATATAATCAAACTAAAAACACTGAAATTTGAAATATGTAGTAAAGGGTATTTAGTGAGTGCTACCTTAAAACAAAAATGAAAGTATATATATATATATATATATATATATATATATACACAACAATGTTAATAAGCTGCTGATACACCGAAAAAGGTAACCAAGAAAAACCTCCAATAATACATGTATATCCAGATAAAATGGTGCAGCGCTAAATGATAATACTCATATAGAGATCACAATTCCAGGTGAGTGGACGTCCTGATCCGGGAGTGATAATTGGGGCAAACCACACAAATGGGTGAAAAACGCACTCTCCAGATGTGTGTTTAAGATACGCAATATATAATCCTGCGTCACCAGGCCATAGATCGGTCATCAGATCTCGGATCGGGTTACCCACAGATCACCATCCAGGTTCCACAGAAACAAGGTCACCAGAAACCGCTACCAGGTATCATCACCACCAGGGTCATGATTCCTCCAGATAGGCACTGCGAATGATAGCACTCACACAGAGTGCCCAATAAGAGACCACATAGCGTGATACTGCTTAAGGTACCTTTATTCAAGGATGGTGGGTGAATATCTTTTTTTTATGTACTATACACCCACCAATAAAGGTACCTTAAGCAGTATCACGCTATGTGGTCTCTTATTGGGCACTCT